TCTTCTTCTTCTTCTTCTTCTTCTTCTTCTTCTTCTTCTTCTTCTCTCCTCCTTCTCCTCCTCTCATCTTCTTCATTTTCCCCTCGTCCCCCTCGCATTTCATCTTCCTCCATAACCTTTCTTCTTCTTCTTCGAGTTCCCCTTCTTCCCCACTCGTTTTTTTTCTCCTCCTCTTCTTCTTCTTCTTCTTCTTCTTCTTCTTCTTCTTCTTCTTCTAGTTCGTGGACATTCGGTAGGTCACGTGAGACACGACAGGTTAAAAAAAAAAACAAAAAACGAAGGCCGTCCTCCTCCCCCTCCTCCTCCGCTCATCTTCTTCGTCTTCTCCTTCTTCTTTCCTCGTCATCCTCTCATCTTCTTCTTCTTCCCCTCCTCCCCCTCACGTTTTCATCTTTCTCCTCGACCTTTCTTGATCTTCTTCTTCTTCCCCTCCTCACCTCTCTTCTTCTTCTTCTTCTTCTTCTTCTTCTTCTTCTGCTCCATTCGCTAGGTCTTCTTCTCTCCCCTCCTTCCCTACTCCCTCCCTGCCTTTCTCCATCCTCCCATCCATCCCTCCCTCCCTCCATCCCATATCGCCATTCTCCATCATCCATCATCCATTCATCCATCACTGCATCCCATCTCGCCATTCTCCATCCTCCATCCTCCATCCCTCCCTCCCTCCATCCCATCTCGCCATCCTCCATCCTCCATCATCCGTCCATCCATCAATCACTACCTCCATACCTCCCTCCATCCCATCTCGCCCTCCCTCCCTCCATTCTCCATCCTCCATCCCTTCCTCCCTCCATCCCATCTCACCATCCTCCATCCTCCATCATCCGTCCATCCATCGATCACTACCTCCCTCCCTCCCTCCATCCCATCTCGCCCCCCTCCCTCCCTCCCTCCCTCCCATCTCGGCATCCCTACCCCCCCTCCATCCATCCATCCATCTTCTTCTTCTTGAACGTTGTTAAGCAGTCTCCCTCCATCCCTCCATCCCTCCATCCTCCCATCTCGCCATCCCTCCCCCCCTCCATCCATCCATCTTCTTCTTCTTCTTCTTCTTCTTCTTCTTCTTCTTCTTCTTCTTGGACGGTGTTAAGCAGTCTCCCTCCATCCTCCCATCTCGTCATCCCTCCCCCTTCCCCCCTCCCCCCTCCATCCATCCATCCATCCATCTTCTTCTTCTTCTTCTCCTCCTCGGTCTTCTTCTTCTTCTTCTTCTCGTCAGTCTTCTTCACTTTTTGTCAGTCTTGTTCTTCTTCAGAATGAAAGGATCGATAACATGCATGCAGCAGACATCAGAGCAGCAGGCAACAAACATGCAGAGCCCCCAACCCAGTACATATCAGATGA